ATATTATGCGTCCAATTCAGCAAGGCGAAGACTTTACGCGAGAAATTGAAGACATCAACAGCAACTCCAGTGACACAGACGGATCTGATGGTGATGATTCAGATTCAAATGATGATGCAGACTTATTGCGGATTCGCGATGCAATTGTCGCCCCTGCTGCTAACGCATCAACTCAAGATCTTCGCAAAGTAAGTTAATTCCGTCTTTTCGTTACATACGGACAAATGTTTGTGATAGTGATCATTGACATATCTACTATAGGCACTTGAACTTGCGCAAAGACTTCTTCTGGACATGCGCGGGAAGTACCGAGAGGCTTTGAAGAAGAACGCTTTGCTTGAGGCAACAGTTTCAAAAGGTCGGAAGACGAAACTAACCAAGAATGACCTTGCCCTCGCCGCCAAGGAAGACAGCATCAGAAATCTTGGACGCAAGTTCTCTGTCACGCACTGCTTATGGGTCGAAACGTCTATCTTCCCTTTGCGTGGGCCACCTCCCAGAATCGACCTCTCGAGCAAGGAGCGGTGGCTCTCACCGTTATCGATTCAGGATGGCGTTAAAGCCGAAATTTTCCAATTCATTCCCCCAGTCGACCACAATATGATGGCTCACAAAAACTTTGGCTCCCATGTATGTGCCATAATCTGAGACCCTCCTCAATCAACTGACCGTCTTTCCAGTTTGTGAAAGGTGTCAATAATGTTCGCGCTGAAATGCTCTCAGACATCAAGTCATGTGCAGCAGCGATTTTCAGTCTGGATGCCAAGTTCTTCATAAGAGGTTACGCACGGGACACAGAGCCAGCTTGCCGAACTCTGCTCCTCAACCCCCAAGGCATATATACCAAGTTTGCTCCAGTTCTTTTCCCGCGTCCAGACCGTCTCGCCAGAGATGATTTTCTGAAAACATCGAAGCTTGTTTATGTAGGTTCTTCCCTTCCTTTAATTCCACTAAACTGAATCACATTCATAGGTCTTGAAAGCATCCCTTTTTGGCCGATCTTCACTCGCTGCCAACGCAGTCCCCACTCCAAAAACGAAGGCCAAAATATGGGAGTTACGCGCTGTAACACCTGGCCTCATCGCAGCAGCAGCCGTTATTGTACGCTTCTTCTTCTTACACTGCGGAACATTGATATTTACGCATTTCAGGCTATATTTGTCCTATCCGGCGACAAAGAGTTGGTTGAAGTCGGCGACAAATCCCGGATTCCATACAAAGACTACCATAACTACTACCGACAATCGCTGCTAACCGGAGGTGCCTGGGCAAACGGGGTCTTCACGTTTTTCAACAACGCGCTGTTTGCGACATCTCATTCTGCCTCAACTATCCTCGGTTCAGACCCCTCACACGACTCGAGCGGTCCACAGGACAGCTGGGAAGAAATGTTTGAGCACGCAATGGAAACCGGAGGCGAACTACCAGAACTAGATGCAGTTGGCCCTGTCATCGATTCAGAGGCGCCCACCACACCTCCTGCTGCACCTCCTGCTGCACCCCCCGCTGCACCTCCCGCTGCACCTCCTGCCACACCTCCTGCTGCACCTCCTGCTATACCCGGTCCCCAATCAATCTCTGCCGCCATGCAAGGTTTAGCTTTAGCTGAGGACGGTCGTCGAGACCCACCACCTGCAGCGCAGCCAGTACTTGATGAGGACGAGCTGGAACCACCTGCTGTCCAGAAGCCGAAGCCAAGGCCAAAGCCAAAGCGGAAGGGCAAGGCCGCCAATGATACTAATACTACTACCAGTGCTGACCCGGAGGATCAAGCTCCTGGAAAGGAACCTGAGGTTTTGTTGTCAGTAGTCAGTGGCAGTGGTGTGTGAAGGGGCCGATCAAGGATCACTAAGTAGACTGTCTTCATCCTGCGCTCAACGATTGTTATTACCTGTAATTCAATACCTGGACAATCCCTTACTTTCAAATAGAATTGTCTGCTGGTTAAATTTTCACGCAATGCATCATCTTAAATCCATTGATTGTGACATTAGCTAGACATGCAACTACAATACAACTAAGTAGAGATTTTGAATCCGAATCAACAGAGCGACGTCGACTCGGACAAGAATTCAGCCATCTGAATCAATCATTGTCATTGCTATGTCTATGTTGACGCCATTAATTCAATACGTAATGATTTATAATAATAATTAAACAGTACCAAACAATAACCGAACTTGGAATGTTTTGGAATCACTCTCATTCACTTACATTCCGACTACCATGTCCCAATGGATTCCCTTCGCCACTGTCACTCAGCAATCTTCTCAACAGAATGGCGCATTGCCCCCAATGCCTTCGACATCACAACCTATTCCACCTGCGCAGCCGACGAATTTCCCTGAAGCAACATGTATCAGTGGAAGCGCTGGCAGCCGCGAGCTCTGGTATGTCTGCCCCATTTCCCTCTGTCTGACCCATCTGAATCCAACCCCCCTGCAGGAATTCGGTATCGACATTATCGGTGAAGACAACAAGACCACCATCCACCACAAAGTCGCTGCCCACGTAGAGGCCATCCCAACATCCGCCTCTCTTCCTCCCAACATCCAGGCGAACTCCAGAAGAGCCATGACACTGGCGCAGAACTGCACTCCCTGAGCTCTTCAATGAATGACATTCACGACACGCTCAGTGGCTCGGTGTAAGTGGTCTGTCCCCGCCACTCTCTTATTCCTACATACTGACTATCCCCCTTCCCCATAGCCCAAAACCTACCACACTTCCCCCAATTGCTCCCTCCCATGCGTTCACAACAAGCCTCGACCACCTCTGCACCCACCCGCATCTGCCGCGCCCGCAAACCCAGAACCCCTGCACCTCCTCCCATGCGTTCACAACAAGCCTCGACCACCTCTGCACCCACACCCGCATCTGCCACGCCCGCAAACCCAGAACCCCTGCACCTCCTCCCATGCATTCACAACAGCCTCGACCACTGCAAGCATCTGTCGAGCAACCCAGAAATGCACCCAGAGTATGGCCTTTCTCCTTTGAGCTCGAGTATGCTGACTCAAGTCGTTGCCCACTCTTCGCAGTATGTGAGTGTCTTGATCCTCCTTTGAGCTCGAGCTATGCTGATCCATGTCGTTGCCCACTCTTCGCAGGATGTGAGTGTCTTGATCCTCCTTTGAGCTGCGCTCAGAGCTACATGAGACCCAAACCAGCCTCGCAAGCCACATCGACAAGGTCCGCGCCCAGCTCCGTTTCGTTTCGTTTGACGGAACGGTTTGCTGATGCGGCTGATGTATTTAGGATTCGCATTTACAATACGCGGGTATTGAGTCTATAATGTTGCAATACCTATTTACAGTAGCGATTGTATTATGTATTTGGATAGTATTGCAATTTAAAAAAATTGATTTCAAGCACACGCAATGATTTTAAGGCCTTGGATAGTATTGCAATTAAAAAAAATTGATTTCAACCACACGCAATGATTTTAAGGCCTTGGAAGGACATGTGACTGATATTTGACTTGCAATTTGCTCTTAAATTGGAATGGTCTTGGGACCGCCTTGGAAGCCCCCTGGTGTCGCTTTCAAGCGGCTTCCAAAATTTTCGGGTTGCCTTCCAAGCGAGTTGTAATGCCGCCGGCAAATTGAGGGCTTCCAATTCATTTTAAGGACCGCCAACCAAAAATAGAAATCTCCGACATAACAACATCTCATTCAAGGTTGTCTGCGTGTGCCGCCGCACCACACGAAATAGCCTTGTGTTATCTCCTGCCTCTCACCATTCCATTGCCACAACAGCATTATCGTGAATATCAATGGTGTGCTTAAATTTCTATTCTTCAAAACGTGGGTACACTCGTAGTATATTATTCTATGTACTTAGTTAGACCTGACTCATGTGCTCAGATAAGTCTTCAAGATAAGACCAAAGATCCTCGGAGTTGGTAGATGAGGCTGTAGTGGTCGGACTAGGAGGTGGAGTAGGGTGTATGATTCCAACTGGCCAGAACGGTCCTCCAACAGTGGGAACTGCACGGAGCAGTCCCGTATTGTAGTGGCTCGTGTACAACTCCAGTGCGTCAGCCCAATGATCGTATCTGGCATGAGATGCGCCGCTGATTCCGTCAACGCGTGCTTTGGCGTCAAGCCTAACAAATCAATTGTGAGCAACAGCATTAAAACGTGATCAAAACATACCAGCGAAAAAAGATACCAACTTCCTGACCAACAGTTACCACATAGTATCCTTGAACTTGAGTGCCAGCAGGCAGATACAGCTCATCAGGATGGGGTGTGCACGAGGCTACAGTTGCTTGTTGAGTGGTACTGAATTGCGCAGTATCCGACTCTGCAGCTGATCGGCGATCACGATGCTTTGGCTTTGCCACATCCGAACAAGTACGTGAATGAGAAGGCGATCGTGGTGTGCGGTGTGGATCCCCAATTTTGAAAGTGACTGATTCCTAGACTGTCTTCTTTGAGTACGTCACGGAGTTAAAGCTTATATCTGACAATGGGTGAGAGATACAGCAAGACTCGGATACTGTGAAGTGAGCAAACAAAATGAACCTGAAATCTTCATTGCGCTCAGAAAATCTTCAAGTCCACCACTACTGACATTATTGCTTGCCGTGGAGCGGGAAGACTTAGTAGAGGTCGCTGTTGAATAGCGGGACCTCATGTCTTTGAGTGAAAAAGTCACTGGCGGGTGCGTAACAAGTGTTGTATCATATGTCACGTGAGTAAAGACTTACCGTGACATTGTCTATGCAAACATTGTTGATTGGTCAAGACCGAAGACATTGATGGCCCCAAGATCTTCAAGACTGCACAATCGGACTGGACTATCCAGTCAAAAGGTCCGGCAGCTGGGTTCAACACGCGATCGGAATGGTCGTCGGTTGGCAACTAACACTCTTGCAGGTCCTAAAGCCCTCTTGCAATGTGCTGCTCGTGCGCAGGCTCGCAAGATCGAACGTCTGGAAGGTGAGCAATTTGAATTTTTGGAATTCTTGAAAAACTCACAACCTTTTACTAGCAATGACTTTAGAACAACGCCAGGCATTACAAGCCTTGGTTGAGCGTCATGATGGTGCCGACGATGACATGAGTATGGACTTTTCGTCGGATTTCAACGAGATCTTGCGAGGAGATCAGCAACTCGAAATCAGTCACAGCGGGAGAGAGTTGGAAGACCTTGCTCAGGAGATAATGGGCGACTTCTGGAAAGGGTGAGTCCATTATTCTATGTTCCTTCTTGAACTTACCTTGGCTGCAACCATGCAGGACCACACCCAAGGGCCATGGTCCACGACGTAATGATCATCGCACACGCCGTGATCGAGTCCAACACCGTGTAGACGCATTTGATGCCCAGCTTCCGGCGATTACAGAAGCTTACCTTGAATGGAGTTTGCAGCGTGTTCGAAGTGGGACAAGACCTGGCTTTTTCCATCAAATGGCAAAGGATGCTCTCACTGAGGTAGGAGCAGACTCAGGATCATGGACTGCGACTATCGTTGATTTATTTTGTGAGTCGCTCATTTGTTTTGTCAGCTGTGAGCACCTCACGGCATTGTGATAGGCGCTGAGAAGGTAACTCTCACCCTCAAGGCCACCGACTCCTTTATCGCTTCTGCCCTCGTTCGTCAGGGTGTAATCCCTTGTTCTCCGATCTCTCCATCTGTTGCTGTGACAGTGGATGCCCTTGAGTTCTACCGAATCGCACATCTACGTGACCTGCATTTCTCGATGCAAGCATTTGCCAAGACTCTTTGTGATTGCATGCGGTACATTTTTGGCCCTCTGTCTCACTAATTATTGACAAGACTTAAGGTTGAATATCGTCGCTACCTCTCACGTCAACTGACCATAGCGTTTGATCTATATCTACAGGTCCGCTCAAGTGTTGATGCACTCGTGGCTGAAGTCCTTAATCGCAACACGCCTGATTGGCGCCTCAAGCATGCATGTCCATCATGCACTTATACATTGGCGGACGAAGATCAACTCACATTCAAGCTCCTGTACGCCATGGATGGCAACGACTCGTTGAAGCGCATTCTTCAGCGAACGCTTGGTGTAGATGACGAGGACACTCAGTCATCTGAACTCCCCACAACGCAACAAGTCCGAGGTGACCGATATCTCCCTCGCGACTATGTCAACAGTTGGGGAAATGGTCGTCAAGAAGAGGCAAACACTACTATAGGCACCGATGACACAGTGCGTGCCACATGGAGTACTTTTTTTTTCATTCAATGCTTATGTTGTAACATCAGGAGAATCCGTGTGCAGGACGATGGAAAACATGGATGACGAAAAGACTAAACGGATGTGGGGAGTGTATGATGAAACAGGTATATTTATTGCCGTCTGCCACCATGGCTTTAGTCTGGTGATGGCTGATATGGTACAGAGCAGGGAATTGTGAGTTGCATCTTCTCCAATGTTCAATCATTAACTAACAGCTTCAATCATCTCTTATGTCAGGGCAAAATATCCACTTGCTGTGGTTTCGAAGCTTCTCGACACATTTGGTAGCGACCTCGGTGGTGGATACGACATCGGATGTCAATTCAAGACAACGCTCGACAACAGTTCATTGGGTACCCGTGCACAATCCCTCAACTACACATCGCTGGTCGGTGCTTTTTCACGGGCACGCTCACCAAACGGCTTTGTCAGCTCGACCACCTCGCAACGTATGTTTCTGGTCTAGGGCTCGAAGACTTGGAGACATGTGAACGTACCTTCTCGAAGTCAAATGCATTAGCGTCGACAATGCGCTATGCCAGCATCTTCCACCGTCAGCAAGGTATTACAAATTATTTTGAACACAATGATGACTATGAGGTGTACGCGAATTTATGTACGTATTTCGCTCTCAATTGTACCGGAGTGTGTTCTAACTAGTCTCACAGCAAATTTTCTGTACCATAACTACAAGCAAGCCCTCGATATCATTTGTGACAGCCAAATAACGCTACCGAAGCTCATGCAAGATATCAACGTTACCGAGGAATCTACTTTCGATGAGTGGTTGAAAGAGGAGAAAGTTTACCTCCAGGGTCTTTGCACCGAGCCCGAGCTCGAGACGTTGCAGATGGAGTATTGGCAGAAGTTGGTCAATCTGAGCGCCAGCAAGTAAGCTTCTTGGATTCCACACTAAGCCACTGACTCACTCTAATTTTACAGGAACGAACTGGATACTGCCAGCTCACTGTGGGCTATGTCCACACCTTCAAATGCCCATAGCTTGGCATCCGACGAGAGCGCGACAAGACGGCTTGAGACGACCAGAAGGCATGCCCTGGAGAATTTTGAGAAGGACTTGGGAGTCGTGCAAGAGCTTGAACAAAAACTCGGGATCTTGCATCGCTGGACACCCGAAGACGCCGACTGGCAAAACGCAGGACGTCTCATTGCTAACCGAAAATACCAGCTCTCGCTTGACCAGTTGGAAGGCCTCATTGTGGCACGGATTTTCGAGCTCACCAAAATGAATAGGTCTGGCACGGGTGAGTCTTTCCTTCACACTACTGCCACTGCTAATCAAAATTTTATAGGCTATAAGATGCGCAAACACATCGCCAAGGCATTGCAAACTCGTTCTATGGCAATCAGGAATGCTCTTGACCGCTATAACGCTGCAGTCGTGCATTGTCCCCTCCACGCCGGATGTTGAAATGGGAGGAGGTGGTGGAGTATGCATTTCTTGCAGACTTCGACCTCCTTCGTGACTCACGTTCCGACGTCTCACAACGGCAATGGGCAACGCCAGCAGCTCGCCAAGCCACTGACTTATATTTCAAACACTGTCGTGCTAAAGAAGAGATCACCCGACTCAATGTTGAGGTGCGCTGCCTTGCCTATATACATGATGAGGATCACTACCTTCGCGAGTGTCAGCAACAAGCGGAGGCCTTTAGTCCAGCTCTCGCACATCAGATCAGTTTGCGGCGGCAAGCCCGAGGCAGGTTCAACTTTTGTCACATCAAACACTTGCAAGACATCGCCAGACTTCCTGGGTTCTCTTGGCACCATTGTCCCTGGAGTGTGTGTCCTTAGAGGCACCGGAGAGAGTACAAGCCTACCGCACGCCAGCATTCCTGCAAGGCTGACATCCCTGACACCCACACCCTCATTTCCTCCTCCAGCTTGAAGCCGCTTGCTACAGAGTCCGCGGATGATCTTGACGATAACGAAGAGGAACTAATGAATATGGAGGAGGCTGCCGAAGCCCTACAGAACGTTCTGCATATCGCCATGGACTCATGAGTTGGTTGGAGTGGGTGGGAAGGACTTATTCA